CTCTTCATCTCTGCTCTATCTCTGCTCTAGCCACGGTGGATGAGAGATGTTACCGCTTCTCAGACTGCACCAGCTGTACCGCCAACACTAATGGATGTCAGTGGTGCGACAGCAAGAAATGCATCTCAGCTCTCAGTAACTGCACTGCTGTAAGTTGGCCTGCAGAGGGCACCGGTGTTACACGACACAGTATGAACTAGCATTCCTGTGTTTGTTGATATCTCTTTTGACTTTTTGTTTTCTTTACTAGACTGTGAAGAATTTCACCAAATGTCCAATCAGAAATGAGCAGATTTGCAGTAAGATGGCCAACTGCAAGAGCTGCTCCCTCAACCTCAGCTGCCAATGGGATCCTCAACAGCAGGAATGCCACACCCTTCCTGGTAAGAATGGCAGAGGATGATAAGAGAGATATTTTATTTTGTGAACAGAGATTGATGGCCATAAATGGGCTTGTCAAGCAATTTTCACACATTAACAGAATAAACTTTAAACTGTTGCTTCTGGCCAAAATTCCAGTCCATAATCCATAATAACACTTCCTCCAACTATTACTGTTATAGAAACTATTCCTATAACATGCTGCTAAATTACTGATGTGATATAAAAGTATGTAGCACACATATATTTGGTAAAATAGTGCATTTTAATTACACCTTTTGTCTTCTTTAAATTGTAAATTTGCTTAATGATTCAGTCTGATTGTGCTTGGCATTTTCCACTGTGGAAATTTCTTTAACCGGCCACTTTGCTTAAATTAGCTATTGGCCCTTTTAAAGCTTCACTTGGTTCTGAAGAGGAATTTTCATTATGTTAAGAGCTCTCCTGCTGTCTCTGAAGAACAGAGATCAAACGAGAAATGGGAAAAATATGAGGCTTGAGTTAAAAGCTCCTAATTCCTCTACATCTCATGACCTCTCTGTAGCCCAGCTGTGTGGAGACAGCTGGAGCAATGTTGGGGAGGCCTGTCTGCAGATCAACTCCAGCAGAGAGAGCTATGACAATGCTCAGCACTACTGCAAGAACCTGGAGGGAAACATCGCCTCCCTTACCACAGCCAAGCAGGTGGACTATGTCCTGGAGGAACTGCAGAAGTACCAGCAGAAGGGGAAGGTTTGTGTCTGCTCATATTTGCACTACCAGTAAGTATTTTCCACATTTTGGAATAGTAGTAAAGTCATTAGAACTTATCCACAAATTGGATAATTATGTTTTGACCAAAAATGTCAAGCAAAATATTTTAGCTTCTTCAAAGTAGCCAACTCTTTGGTCTTCATTATCTCAACCAACGTCCAAATGGAATGATTTTAAACAGTATTTAAAGATTGTAAAATGTATGCTGGCTACTTTTTGGCTGATTTTTCTTCACTATCTTATCCAACTCAACCATTTTTAAGTTTTAGTTGTATAAAGAAATTAATGCATAGGCAATCCTAGTTTCTGACATTTAACAATAAGTCTTTAAATAAGATGTTTTTTTGAGATCATGAGAAACATTAATTAATTCAGTCAAGTGTGTCCAAATTTTCTCTAGCTTAATAAAAACAATAATATTGTTAATTATTTTTTATAGTGTATAACAACTGTTTTATCTTTTAATTAGTGCTGTCAAATCGATTAAACGTAATTAATCACATCCAAAATAAATGATTGTGTTTATATAATATATATGTGTGTGTACTGCACTATGTATTTAGTGGCTGGTTGGTGGCTGGTGGAACGATCTCCCCACCCCTATTTGTGGAAACTGTGATATTTGTTTTTCATAATTCTTTGAATAGAAAGTTCAAAATAACAGCATTTAATTACAGTAGAAATCATTTGTAACATTACAAATGTCTTGTTGTCTTAAAGCATCCTTGCTGAATAAAAATATTAATTCCTTAGAAAAATTGAATGGCAGTGTATACTCGCATTCTAATAATAATAATGATTGACGCACACTCTGTTCAAATTTTTAGTTCCTAATTTTGTTTGCGTGACTCATTGCGTTTGTCCTGCAGAAACTGTCCCCATGGGTTGGCCTGAGGAAGATCAACGTGTCATACTGGGGCTGGGAGGACATGTCTCCATTCACTAACACCTCTCTGCAGTGGCTGCCTGGTGAGCCCAATGACTCAGGCTTCTGTGCTTACCTGGAGAGAGCTCAGGTCTCTGGCCTCAGGGCGAATCCCTGCACCGCCAACACAGACGGCCTCATCTGTGAGAAACCAGTCGGTGAGTCTCTGTTTCCCTTTTATTCTTAGTGAAAGCTTGGAAATAAGCCAATAAGATACATACACATTCCCTTTTCAGTAATCTCATACATATTTCCTCCCTTGCAGTGAGCCCGAACCAGAACGCCCGCCCGTGTAAGACGCCCTGCTCCCTGCGCACCACTTGTGAGAACTGCACCAGCCAGGCCATGGAGTGCATGTGGTGTGGAAGCACCAAACGCTGCGTGGACTCCAATGCCTACGTCATCTCCTTTCCCTATGGCCAGTGTCTGGAGTGGCAGACAGGAGACTGCGTGTGTGAGTGTCCTCATTTACATATAGTGGCCATTACTGCTTATAATCTGCCCCAGAGAAAATCTGTGGTCTTTTTTACATATTCAGCATTGATTTTGAGGGGAAAAAGGAACTGAATGTGTAACACAGTAAAATGTGTTAAAGGAGCAGCGAGTACCTTATTATTATTGGTAGAAATATTTAACATATTGAAGTGGTGGAGAATGTATAGAACTTGGTAACTTTGTACCATTCAGTTCAAGTTTGAGGTCTGTAAGATTTTTTTTTTTAAACAAAATTAATGCATTTATTCAGCAAGGATGCATTCAACTGAGCAAAGGTGACAGTAAAGACATTGATAATGTTACAAAAGATTTCCATTTCAAATAAAAGCAATTCTTTTGAACTTTTCTATTCATGAAAGGATCCTGAAAAAAGGATCACAGTTTTCAGAAACATATTAGGCAGCATAACAGTTTTCAAAAATAAGTCATGTTTTCTTAAAACACCAAATCAAAATCAAAATAAAATAAAATGGTTTCTGAAGAATCATGTGACACTGAAGACTGGAGTAATGGCTGCTGAAAAATCAGTTTTGCCATCACATAAATAGATGTAATTTAAAATGTATTAAAATAGAAAACTGTTATTTTAAATGGTAATAATATTTCAGGATTGTTTTTACTGTATTTTTGGAGCAAATTAATGCAGCCTTGGTGACCACAAGAAACTTCTTTCAAAAACATTTAAAAAGTCTTACTGACCCCAAACGTTTGAAGTTTTTGTAGCGTGTATTTATAATGTACAATTTTTAATAAGGATTCATTTTAAATTTTCTTTATCTGAATACTTTTGGACTTTGAAATGGTTGTACATAGCTAATAGTGAGACATTTTGTTTGTTAAAATGAAACCTGAATTACAAGAGCTATTTTCTCCAGAAACCCCTTAGCCTTTTTTCTTGGAAGGACTTCAGTGCGAGTATACCCTTTTCAGTGATGAGAAAGTTGCTCTGCGGAGCCTTTCAGAGAAAGATACAACCAATCAGTGCCTGTCAGCGTCCTGGGTTGTGTGGGTTCTTCATCTCTATCAGATCTGTTGTTTCATCCCATTAGCTGAACTGCTTGGCCTCTGATCTGTCTGTAATGTGCAATTAGTGTTTCAATTTGTCTGCCTAAGCATTCGCTCTTCCCTCTTGGCTGTTCAAGAATGGATTCTTATGGCACACATCGGCACGCTAAGTGATAAAACTTTAAGGAAGCTACATAATTTGGCATAAACGTTCTTCAGGGAATATTAAAAAGAGGCCTTGACATTCCTATGTTCCTGATTTTTCACGTTGCATTCACATTTACATTCGGTGTGTTTGAAATGCTACTTGTTTGCTGACAATTTATTTGCTACACAGCTGTGTTATGCCATTTTTGTCCTTCAGACTAAAGGCTTTAAGTGCTCACAATGTCTTATTTCACCCTATCAGACAGTGAGGTAAGCGTACAGGGGACACACGGACACTCTCCGACTGTAGTCTGTTTTTATGACAGGCCTAGACTTACTGATAGAACTTCCATTATGCTCAGTCTGATGGAAAATGAATTAAAAGCTCTCCGCCAGAAGGAGGTGGTACGATTCTGCAAATCTGTCTGGCTTTTTGTCACCAAAATGTATCGCTCTGTCCGAGTGATGGTTACTTAACGTTTCAACTGCTCCGCCATAAGCCTCGGCCTGTGTCAGTGCCATTTTAAAGATCTATTTCTGCTTCATGTTTTTTTCCTCTTATGTTTTTCTTCTATTTCTCTTCAGGGTGCTTTGTCTCTGTCAGAGCATGCATGGATGAGTTTGACTCACACTTGTGAAGGTTTGCGTTTTTAGGCGGCAGTGATTTGCACTGGGATGTGGGGAGCTTGTGTGTGTCGACCCCAATATTGTAACAATCTGATAAATTCGATCTTAAATCTGACGGCTGCTGCTGCTGCTTGGGTGAGCTGAAGGTCATTTGTTTACAGTCGGTTTGTACCATGTCCTTGTCGCATTACTGGAGATCAACAATTTGACTTGTTCCTCATCCTCGTCTCTCTCCACAGTTGCCTGTTGGCATGGCCACATTAGGTATCATAAATAAGTGTTTTGGGTGCTAATGAACATGAAATGGCATTAGCGACTGATTTGAATTCATTTAATTTCACATATTTATGAGTGAAATTATGTATTTAATGAGCAGGAAAAAAGCAGGGTGGGAGTTATGGTTTAAAGGGATAGTTCACCCAAAAATGGCACCGCAAATGGCAGCCAGGACGCTGAGCTCCGCGATTCTTCTATTGTTTTTGTTTGTTTGTTCTGTGTTTTGTCAGTCTTCTTCTATACGTTTTACCAGAGACGAACTCCTTAACATTAAGCAGCACATCCCAGAAAATATTTTTCCTGTTCTTGTTAGTATGTGAACGTTATCTTACACATTTTATCTCCCCAACAGATTAATTTGAAATAAGTTTATGATGCATGTTGGCTATTCCCAATTCAGAAGAGCGCACACACAGCCTGTGTCTGTGAATGCTTCTCATACTCGCTCCTCTCTACCCCATGCGGCGCGAATCCCGCGTCACGGACAAGCTGTTCACGCTTGCCGCACTCACGCAGCCTGTCTCGTAATGCTCTACGCAATCACCAGATCAGCTGTCCTGTCAGTCTAATGAAAGGATTATAGCGTGAGTGCTCTAAAATATTTGGTTTTTGCTGTTAAGTCATATTAGCAAAAACCTTAAAAAATACAGCTCTGGGTAACCCGCGACAGACAGCAAAAGTTTCTCCTTTTTCTCCATCATTGCAGTCTCCGGACTTTCTAAGCAATGGTAAACTTTCGTCACCACAATGGAAATGCCCGCCTCTCCATTCGTTCGATTGGACAATGGGAAAAAAACGCGAATGACGTTGGGTGCTTTTCTGCTCAGAGTTGTTGTTTTTTTTCAACTTCAGGCGCTCGGAGCGCTCCTGCAAAAACGCGAGGCGCAGCAGGTGGCTAAAATGTGAGGCGCCCGGGGCACATAAACATAGAGCAAAATGCTCACTGCCAAAAGAAAACAGTTTAAAAATGGCGCCTCTCACTGCAAAAAAAAATGCATTCTGTCTGATCAGGGCCTAAAGAAAGTCAACTGAATTTTCATTTTTGGGTGAACTGTCCCTTTAAGAATTGCTTGGATTATGAAATGTCTTTGTGACAAGTGACTGTGGGGGAGGGGTTAAAAAATCAGAGGGCTTTGAGATGTCACTTGAAAAGTAGCATTGTTTCAGAAGTGAAGCCAGATATTACATTTTGAAGGATTACAAAAAAAATGTTTTCCCTTTCTATCAGTATTGATCAATGAGTCATACACAAGAAGACCAGAAAGGTAGCTACGTGGGGTCAGTTTTGATTTCATGTGATTTTAAAACCAGTTCAATCATGACAACTCTCTAAACATTTTAGCATGGTGATGGATATGACAATGTTAATGCATTTGGTCTTGGCGGAATAGATCTGCTACGCTGCTGCTGAATTGCTGCTGCTGTTGGTTATTGCTGTAGTTGTAGATAATTGCTGCTGCTGCAAGCAAGTACAGGAACTTGCTAATGCCAATGCATGAATTTGATATTTTCCCCAAAATCGCACAGCCCTATTAACAACCTGGAGCTTAACATGCTCAAAACTGTGGAGATGATCGTGGACTTCAGGAGAAAACCCCCTGTGTATTCCTATGTATGTCTGCACTATCATGTATGTCTGCACTATGTTTGTACTTTCTTCTACACTGGAAGCTCCTGTCGTCAAGTCAAATTCCTTGTGTGTGTAAACATACTTGGTAACAAAGCTCTTCTGATTCTGATTCTGAAAAATCAAAACGTTTTTTCAAACCTGTTTGACATTCTTCTGTGCAACATAAAAATATATTTATATATATTAAAAATATATATAAACTGTTTGTAGAAGAATAAGGCCCCGATCAGACTGAACGCGTTTTTTAGGTCACGAGGTGCACCGCACTACCTTTTTTTTTGGTGACTTTTAAAAAAAGAGCGTTGCGCTGCAGATGTTTATGTTGCTACGCAATCACCAGATCAGCTGTCCTGTCAGTCTAATGAAAGGATTATAGCGTGAGTGCTCTAAAATATTTGGTTTTTGCTGTTAAGTCATATTAGCAAAAACCTTAAAAAATACAGCTCTGGGTAACCCGCGACAGACAGCAAAAGTTTCTCCTTTTTCTCCATCATTGCAGTCTCCGGACTTTCTAAGCAATGGTAAACTTTCGTCACCACAATGGAAATGCCCGCCTCTCCATTCGTTCGATTGGACAATGGGAAAAAAACGCGAATGACGTTGGGTGCTTTTCTGCTCAGAGTTGTTGTTTTTTTTCAACTTCAGGCGCTCGGAGCGCTCCTGCAAAAACGCGAGGCGCAGCAGGTGGCTAAAATGTGAGGCGCCCGGGGCACATAAACATAGAGCAAAATGCTCACTGCCAAAAGAAAACAGTTTAAAAATGGCGCCTCTCACTGCAAAAAAAAATGCATTCTGTCTGATCAGGGCCTAAAGAAAGTCAACTGAATTTTCATTTTTGGGTGAACTGTCCCTTTAAGAATTGCTTGGATTATGAAATGTCTTTGTGACAAGTGACTGTGGGGGAGGGGTTAAAAAATCAGAGGGCTTTGAGATGTCACTTGAAAAGTAGCATTGTTTCAGAAGTGAAGCCAGATATTACATTTTGAAGGATTACAAAAAAAATGTTTTCCCTTTCTATCAGTATTGATCAATGAGTCATACACAAGAAGACCAGAAAGGTAGCTACGTGGGGTCAGTTTTGATTTCATGTGATTTTAAAACCAGTTCAATCATGACAACTCTCTAAACATTTTAGCATGGTGATGGATATGACAATGTTAATGTATTTGGTCTTGGTGGAATAGATCTGCTACGCTGCTGCTGAATTGCTGCTGCTTTTGGTTATTGCTGTAGTTGTAGATTATTGCTGCTGCTGCAAGCAAGTACAGGAACTTGCTAATGCCAATGCATATGGCAATACGGTGCCATTAGTATTTAAGACATACTGCTGCTGCACAAATAGCATATAAAATAACCCGTAGCAGATCTATACAGGTGGAGCTGGGGAAGGTGGAGGGTTTCAGAGAAACTCTGAAAGCGCGCTGCAGGGATCTCTAGTGAATGCTAGCCAGCCATATAAATGCAAGGCAGTAAGCTCTAAACCAATCAGCTGTGCCAAGTCGTTTAACTCTCTGAATATCATCGGTTACGTTAACAACCCTTTGCCTGCGCCATCAAGAGTTTCATGACTGAACTATATATTTATATCTCCTAGCTGATATGCCAGTGACGTCTTTTAATCTGCGGGGTGCCAATAAATGTATGTCTGTCAAATCATGGACTTTCACTATTTGAATCAGCAGGGATGTATTTTTATTCTCAGTGTTGTCTCATCTGGTTTCCACGCCTTACCCGTCTAGACATTTCCTCATTCCCCCCCAACAAAAGATTTTTTATTGCATGCCGAATCAAATCATATGGTGCTGTTGAGGATCTGTCAACTCCTGCAGCTGAGAATCCATGAACTCCTGCCAGCATAATGACAAACATTGTGCGTTTTCACTGTTATTGCTGCCATCATGTTGACCCTGAACACACTTTGTGTGTAATGCTTGTTGTTGTGAGGTCTGAGATCCTAAGAGATGTGATTTGGCTGCCGGGGAGGTGGATCAAACTGAAAGAGGCTGACGCATATGGCTCTGATGTGCTCTTTAGGGAGAGTGAACTTTCTGGTGGTATTTGAGAGCATATTACTCAGTCAGTGGAGTGATATGCCCCGTGAGATCATAAAAGTATCATTTTAAGCGTGTCTTTGTTGCTTCTCATTGTTTATTTCTCAGAATCTGCTGGCTTTTTTCTCTTCGGCTTCTCATCTCTCTCTTTTCTCTGTCATTGCAGCTCAGAACTGTTCTGGTTTGCGTACATGTGGTCTGTGTCTGGAGCAGCCTGACTGCGGCTGGTGTGGGGACCCTAGTAACACCGGCCGAGGACAGTGCATGGAGGGTTCGTATCGCGGACCCATGAAGAGCCCCTCTAAACACAGCCAAGACATGGTGTTGGAGACGGGGCTCTGCCCAAAAGAGCGGGGCTTTGAGTGGGCCTTCATCCAGTGCCCTGGTGAGAACCACCCACGTTTTGACAATCACGTGCACACGCAAATTTGTTCCACCAGGGGTTTTCAAACTGCAGGGCAGGGAACCCCTTGGGACACAAAGGGGTGCAAGATGATCTGCAAAAAAATGATAGAACAAAATGACCATATGTATTTTTTTAGGGATATAATTGTTAACGTATATATGTAAAGATATTAATTAAATATGTTTAGTGTGACAGTAAATAAGTGATATATTTACTGTGTTAAGACAGAAATAGTGATCAGAAATAGTGAGATTAATTGTGATAATTTTATTGACAGCTGTGGTTTTTAACATTAATACTTCTATTCAGTAAGAATAATTCAAATTCATCAAAAGTGACTGTACTATTTTAGATGATACATTTTTTTTAAATAAATGCCAATAGCTTTTTTATTCATCAAATAATCCTGAAAAAAGTATCCTGTTTTCCATGAAAATATTAAGTACATGAAGCCTTGTTGAGCATAAGAAACGTTTTTAAAAAACATTAAGAAATATTACTGGCCCCAAAACTTATATATGTATGCATTTATTTATTGTTGTAATTTAAAATTTTTGTTATTTCCCTAATAACAATTTAATTTACTTTAGTACTTAGTGACAATATATAAAAATTATTTTGTTGTCTTTACAGTATCACTCTTCACATTTTTACACAATATAAATGGGTTTTAAACATGAAAATATGTATCTGCTTTCATATTTTTGGAAAGGGATCCCTCACCAGGGGATCACTATATTTGGGGGTTCTTGGCATAAAAAGTTTCAATATCCTTTAGTTTTCAATTGAGTCATCTCTGACATCAAGATTGGTAAAAATTATTTTTATTTCCCAGCATGCCAGTGCAATGGCCACAGCACGTGTGTGAATGGCAGCGTGTGTGAGCAGTGTCGTAACCTCACCACCGGGCTTCACTGCGAAACATGCTTGCCCGGATACCATGGAGACCCAACCAATGGTGGAAAGTGCCAAGGTGAGAATATTTGCACCTGCTACTAACTGGGCATTTTGATACACCATTTGGCTTAGTAATGGAGAAAAGAGCGCACTGGGAAATTAATGTTGAGGTCAAAGAGGTGGTTGCACTGCCAGAGGTGAGGGGCAAGATCACACATAGACATGCACTCACATTTTTTCTCTTTTGCCCTGGAGATGTCGGTTTACAGCATTGGCCTATGATTCTAGGAGAAACAGGATATGCTGTAACAGGCCATTATGCTCACAGATATGAGACAGCACCCCCATCAGGACTTTAACACTAAGAGCTAGCCATCACAAAACATGTGCTAGTTTAAACTTTTTAAAAGTGTGGTCCTAAGAGGTCTTATGTTTTATTTACAACATATTTTTGAATGTAAATGGATTTGTTGTGTTCCTCAATGTTTTTGTGAAATTTTGCCCAAGGCCTCCTTTAGTTTAATGCTTGATGGGACGTCCGTTCTGAC